CCATCATACACTAAATCAGTAAGTTGGCAGCATCACCGTTTCAACGATAAGAACAACCACAACCGACTTAACGAACATTGGAGAACTGGCAACTAAGCACGCGGACCTGTTGGCTGGTTATGCAGATCTGTCAATGCTGCTTCAACTCGATATTGGTTGGGATGTTTACTGCCGTGCTAATGAGCGAGAAGTTTCAGAACTGCCGATCTCTATTGCCATTGGTGATGTGAATATTACTAAATCGCTTGAGGACGCTGTTAACGCGCTTAATACATCAAGTTTAGTCGCTGCTATGGGGGAGATTAACCAGACCCTTAACACTGGCTCAGGAAGCTCGTCAGGCTCTGGTTCAGGCGGCGGCACTGCCACTCCCCCACCAGCACTAACAGAAGAGCAAATTGAATCTCTGAAAGTAGCAACTGAACAGTTTGGGGTTGTTTTCAACCAGACAACAACGCCCACAACTGCGTTACAACAGCAGTATGAACGAGCGAATGAAAGCGCCAACGTAGCCATAACTGCTTATAACCATGCTATCGGTACCGCGCTTGCGGAAGCATCAGCAAATAAGGTCAGCACAGCCAGCGCAGTTGCCGCTTTGGTTCCTGATTCTGTTCTTGATGAATTAAACAAAGCGGCACAGTAACAAAGGACTTCATTGATAATTTTTCTTCAGGAGGAAGACATGTCATTCTTTTCTACGTTAAAAACAGCTTTGTCTTTGAAGGAGAAACTTGCTGCTACTGGTGTTCTTGTTCTGATTTGCGCACTTGTTGGTGCTGGGTTTGCATGGGAACGTCATCAGCTAAAGCAAGCCATGGAGAAAATTGGCAGTCTTGATCAGGCTGTTAAGGAACGTGATAAGTCAATAATGGATCTTAACCAGACCATTGAGACGATGAACAAAGCAGAGCAACATTTTCACAGCCAGGAAGTGAAAAATGAATCAGAACAAGCCAAATATGCTGACAGGCAAATGGAACGAAAAGCTGAAGTTCAGAAACAACTGGTTGCGGCGGGTAATGTTCGCCAGCGCATTCCTGCTGACACTCAGCGG